ATGAAGCCAACATAGATGGAAGCAGAGACAAAAGAGAAAGACTGACTTCTAATGACACAACTCTATGGATTCTTCAGTTTCTGGACCAATAAAATCCCATTTTTTGCATAAGCCAGGTTGAATCAGATTATATACTCTCAACGGAACGATACCTGATAGATAATCTAATTGCCCAAGCATCCCTCATTTCGAAGATACTTCAGTACAGAGGCAGTCCCTCTACTTCATTTGCTAATTGGCTTATTTTGCTATATACAAAATAAATTTTTTGCTTAGAAACTTAAAATTGCAACTCAGAACACCAAAGCTCACTCTTTTCTAAGCTGAGATAACATGAGCAAACAAAAAAGATAAACAGACTACAAAGGCTACACCGAGAACAATCTGAGCTTTGATCAGCTTGTCCCAAACACTGTGAAGCTAGATTTATGCTTTAGCACTGAAGTTGCCACATTCTAAGCTGCTGATGCTAGTAAAAATCCACAGTGCAAAGTGTGATGCCAGGAGATAACAAACAGCAGAGAACTGCCTACTCAAACGTTTCTATAAACAACATTGGGGACCTTAGGCCCCCAGACTGCAGTGGCAAGAAACTTCGGTATAATCCCCATCCACTGCAACCCAGCTTGCAAGTATCTACAAAGAAAAGTGCATGGGAAGAAAGCCACTGATATCAACAAATATAGCATAGCTATCACACATACGGCATGGATAAACACCATGGAAGAGAAAAAAATTAACAACCAGTTTTGGGTGTAGCCTTTTTTAAATTCAGGATCAATCTCCAAACTTCTGTGTTTTTAATATTCAGTGACTTTTCATTTGACACTTATATTTGACATATACTACAGGTTGGGATACTTATTCTATTAATATACAATTTCTGTCTCCCAGTAGACTGTGAGTCCCTTGAGGTCCAGAACCTTAAATCTGAAATAGCACCTGACACAAAACACATGCTCAGAAAATATCTGGTGGAAATTTATTAAAACATGAAATCCTTGGCTAGCAAAATTTTGCTTTCCTTAAAAAATAGTAGTTATCATTTACTGAACAGTTCCTATGTGCCAAGTGATGTACTAAAAAACACAYATATTGGATAATTTAGCTCACTGACTTGAACTGAGTTTATTCCAATCTCTTAACAATTAAGTTAAAGCTCTTCCCACTGCTGGACTTGAATGGAATGAACAAATGTATGAAAGTTCAAAAGAACATATTTTAGTTTAACCCAAGGAAGACAGTATAGAAAGGGCAGAGCTATTCTAAAAGGAACGAGCTGCCTCTGGAGGAACTGGTTATTGGAGAAAACCATGCAGAATTTCATTTAGCAAGTACATTACAGAAATAATGCAAGCACCAGAGGAGCAGTTTACATAGTCAGCCAGATTGGGAACATACTCTGAGCTCTGTCCTAGAACCTGGGAGYCTAGAGAAGTAGCTTAAGTTTGAGCAATGTCAAGGCCTAAAACTTCCTGTATTTCCTTATCTTATAAACTTGGGCTCCCCCCACCCCCACAAGATATGCTATATTCCCTTATTGTCTCACTGAAATCAAAATGCTTACAATCTTTCCCCTTGAAGACACAAAAGAGTTTTATAATGCTGACATTAATCTGGTCTAATGATAAAAGACATGAAGGATGTAGATCTGAATATGCTTTTCATGMCTCAGAATTAGCAAACCTCAAGACTGGAAAATACAGGAGAAGTTAAAGTAACAAAATTGATAAGTCCTTGACCCTATCACCTCCAGCTCTACCATTTTGATTTTATAAGGCATAGTGTTATATTGAATGAAACAGATATTAGTATAAGACTGCATAAAGTTGTGATGAAATTTCTTTTAAGTCTTAGTCAGAATATACACTTCTATGATGAGTTTGAGGCTTTATAATACAAACAGGCACCTTTAGCTTATTTTGCTTTCAGCTCTTTGACTGCTTAATAACAATAAAATCTCCTAAGCAGCCATGGGCTAGAGTATGCATAAAGAACCAGAAGAAATTAGCACTATTTGCCAATGATATGATTTTATAACTAGAAGACCCAAAAAGTTCCACCAGAGAACTTCTAGAACTAGTAAATGAATTCAGCAAAGTAGCAGGATATAAATCAACACCCATAAATCAAAGGCATTTCTGTATATCAGTGACAAATCCTCTGAAAGGGAAATGAGGAAAACTACGCTATTTACAATAGCCTCAAAAAAAAAAAAAAAAACCCTTGAGAATCAATTTAATGAAAGAGGTAAAAGATATATACAATGAAAACTACAGAAACCTAAACAAAGAAATCAAAGAAGACCTTAAAAGACGGAAAGATCTACCTTGCTCTTGGATAGGCAGAATTAATATTATAAAAATGACCATACTTCCAAAAGCACTATACAGATTTAATGCAATTCCAATCAAAATCACAATGACATTCCTCATAGAAATCAAAAAAGCAGTCACGAAATTCATCTGGAAAAATAAGACACCCAGAATAGCTAAAKCAATCCTTAGCAAGAAGAATGAAGCAGGTAGYATCACTATTCCAGACCTTATACTATACTACAGAGCAACAGTAACAAAAACAGCAATGGTATTGGCACAAGTAGACCTGTAGACCAATGGTTCAGAATAGAGGGCACAGAGACTAACCCATATAACTATAGTTATCTTATATTAGACAAAGGCTCCAAAACCATACATTGGAAAAAATACAGCCTCTCCAACAAATGGTGCTGGGAAAACTGGAATTCCACATGCAACCAAATGAAATTAAACCCCTTTCTCTCACCATGCACAAAATTCAACTTAAAGTGGATAAAGAACCTAGGAATACAACTAGAGACAGAAGAAAAAGTAGGCCCAAATCTCCATTGTGTTGGATTAGGCCCCAACTTCCTTAATAAGACTCCTATAGTGCAAGAATCCACATCAAGAATCAATAAATGGGATAGATTCAAACTAAAAAGCTTTCTTCTCAGCAAAATAAACAATCAGTGAGGTGAATACAGAGCCTACATTTTGGGAGCAAATTTTTACCACATGCACATCAGACAGATCACTAATCTCTAGGATATATAAAGAACTCAAAAAGCTAAACACCTAAAAAACAAATAACCCAATCAATAAATGGTCCAAGGAACTGAACAGACACTTCTAAGAAGATGATATACAATCAACATATATATGAAAAAATGTTCAACATCTCTAGCAAACAGAGAAATGCAAATCAAAACTACTCTAAGATTTCATCTCATTCCAGTCAGAATGGCAGCTATTAAGAACACAATCAACAATAAGTGTTGGCAAGGATGTAGGGGAAAAGGTACACTCATACAGTGGGACAACAAGTTGGTGCAGCCAATATGGAAAGCAGTATAGAGATTCCTTGGAAAACATGGAATGGAACCATCATTTGACCCAGCTATCCATCTCCTCRGTCTATATCCAAAGGACTGAAAAACAGCATACTACAGGGACRCAGCCACATCAATGTTTATAGCAGCACAACTCACAATAGCTAAACTGTGGAACCAACCTAGAAGCCCTTCAGTAAATGAATGGATAAGGAAAATGTGGCATTTACACACAATGGAATATAGGAGGATTAGATTAACTCTAGATAGGGCAAAGAGGAGGGATGGGAAGGGAGAGGGTTTAGGGATAGGAAAGACGGTGGAATGAAATGAACATCACTACCCTAAGTACACGTATGAAGACATGAATGGTGTTACTCTGTGTACAACCAGAGGTATGAAAAACTGTGCTCTATATGTATAATATAAATTGCAATGTATTCTGCTGCCATATATAACAAAATTTTAAAAATAAATTTACTTATTTAAAAAAATAAATTTAAATTACTACAAAAGATAGGGCTTCTTTTTTGCAGTAACAATGACAATGTGCATAACTTTTCTTTCAGTCTGTTCCTTGTGCCTTTCGTGGGTTTTCCTTAAAATAAGTAAATAAACAAAAAAGCTTGATACCAAAAGAGCCAGCAGTAGAGAAAGCAGAGTTGAATTGAGAAACTGAGTATACTCAGAGCGGGTGAAATTAACACTATGAAGTCCAAGTGTTGAAAAACATGAAAATGGAAGATAAGGAGGACCAAGATCAGGAAGAGCCTCATTAAAGGAGTGTTTATTCACCTAAAGGCAGCAGGCAGTCACCAAAAGACTATGAACTGGCAAGAGAAGAGTTCACACTGATGTTTAGATATCTTGTTTCAATTACTATGGGGATGTAGCTGAGTGGCGGGGTGCTTGCCTAGCATGTGTAAAGCTCTAGGCTCAATCCCCAGTACCAACCACACCCCCAAAAATAAATAAATTACTATGTAGATAGTGAACTGAGAGGGAGGAGAGGATGCAAGAAGTAGACATGAACAGTTAGAGGGTGTTACAGTAACCCAGGCAAGAGACTATGGAATCTTAAACTTAGCAACAGAATGCATGTAGGGCACAAAAGAAAGAAGAATCAAGACCTTAAGATATATGGCATAGCCAAATGGATGGCTGATGGTACCATGAACTGAGATTGGTATGTGGTAGTCAGGATTGAAAGGAAGTTGATTCGGTTTGGAACATGATGCATTTGAGATACCCACATGACATACAAGTAGAAATGCCCAGAGGGTAGTTGATAGGTCTAACCTGGATATATAAAGGCACTAGCATTAATAATAATACACTTACTAGCCTACAGAGTATAAATGAACCTTGAGAAAGGGTAAAATTACTCAGCCCATAAATCTAGGGCAATCACCTATGAGAAAGCAATACCTTGCTTGATACCTTACTATTATAGTTGACACTTCATAACTTACAGAAGATACCATATCCTAACCCAGGTAATATGGGTGTTCGAAATATAAGTGGAATACAAATTCATCCATAGAGGAAAAACAATTCCCCTGACCCAAACATAACAGGTGGATCTGAGATCTAAAATCTCATCACAGCTGACAACATCCTAAGACATCCATTCTAACACCAAAAGACTCACCTGTGGACAAAGCCTCCTCACGAACATCATCCTCACCAGGTTGATGAATATTCCAGGATGTTTTGGGAAGTAAAGAAATTTCCTCAGGTGATTCTAATTTTACCATATCCATGTGGTTGCTCTGGAACTGGTATCGAGGTATAAAACAGATTTTGCCTTGTTGGAAAATGTCCTTGATGATCTCTTCTGTCTCAATTTCATCTTGCATGCTTAGAAAGATGGAAATTCTTTTGGAATTCTGATACTGACTGTGGGCCATCACCTAAACAGGAAATGACAGCAATTATAATTTCTAAGTTTATACTTTAAAAAACTAAAGACTTTTAAGAGTTTCTCCCTTCTCTCTCAGCCTTTTCCAACTTCTTTTAACTTACCAAAAGAAAGCAGAATGTATAATAAGCTAGACAATGCTAAGCCCTGAAACTTGACTTTTAGTTCAGGACCCAAGACTTCTGATTCTTTTACCCTTTCTGGCACACCACTCTTGTAAGAATGAAAACTCATTAAAAAGTCATCATCTCTTGAGAATTTCAGTTTTGACCCCACTTACCCATTTTAGTGATCTCCAGTCATATCACATGCTTCCACTAAAGTCTTTGTTTTATTCTATTTCTGAGCCTTGGCTCCCCAAAACTTCACTCCCTGTATTGTCAATTTCTCTTCTAAATTCTACCCAACTAAAGCACAGATCAAACCCTAACTTTTCCTAACTTCTGCAGAGCCTCACTGCATCTACTGTTGATAGGTAACTTAACACTTAATTCTGTATTGTCATGAGTTTTGATCACTAATTATCTATTAGTTCCAAATGTAGTATTCTGAACCAGTTCATAAGCTCCCCAAGGTCATGCCTTATAATTCTCTCTCAGCTCCTCTACCCCCACAACATTCCATTTTACGGAATGTTAAATTGTCAATTAAGATGGGAGTGGGGGCCATTGTAAAAGAATCCATATTCAGCTGAATCATTCATCAAGCAGGAGAAGGGGGCTGAGCTTTGTTAATCATAAAAAAGTCAACAATCTAAGGAACTTGGACTCAGATGTTGGCCCTTAGCTCTCTTTTTTTTTCTCCTTTCATTTTCTACTTTCCCCTATCCTCCAAGCCAAGAAAAACATTGCAAAAGCCTCTTATAAATATGACTAGCAAAAATACACAGGCATAGAAAGTCAAGTTATTGCTTTTAAAAAGAGGAAAGGGAAAATTAAGTAGATACAAAACACCAACTACTGCTGAGGAAGTAAGTTAACTCCTGGTTTCTGAAAAGTTGCACAGTTGCTGAGACCTGACACAGGCAAAGAAAAATGGAAATGTGAAACTCAGACTTTAGGCAAGCCTGAGGCTTTTAGCATTCAGGTGCTATAAGAGAAAGTTGTGTGTCTTGGCTGCCAGGTGGCTGAGGCAGAAGGATCACTGATTCTTTTACCCTTTCTGGCACACCACTCTTGTAAGAATGAGAACTCATTAAAAATAATAGCTGGGGCAATTTAGCAAGACTCTGTCTCAAAATTAGAAGAAGAAAAAAAAACTGGTAGACCACTTGCCTAGCATGCATAAAGTCCCAAATATCACCAAAAAAAAAAAAAATGAATGAATGAACAGAATTTATCTTTCTTGTTCTCTGAAATGCAGAATATAGAAAAGCAAGAGCTGAATAAGCAGTAAGAAAGATCAGTTAAAATGCAGTGTGAAAAAAAAAATGCAGTGTGAGACTTTGCATATAATCTTCTTCCTCAAATCCCTTTACAGGATACTTGCAAAGAAGCATGAAAACAATCCATTATAGAACTGAGAATAAGGGAATAGAGGATTGAATAATTCCTGTAAAATAGAGAGTGGATGGGACAGTATTTACAAACAAAACAGCAGATCACAACACTCTGAAAACACGGATACAGGTGAGATAGAAGATATTCCTCCCTTAAGCTCTCCAACAAAGTGACTACTAAAGACAGAGGACATCCCATAAGCTAATACAACTTCATCCATAAATAAGTACACACTACAAAGGATCAACAAATCTTTTGGAAGCCAAAATACAAAGTAGAAGAATAAAAAGGGAGTGAGTGGGGATAGCCCAATGGAAAACTGAGATAAGTTAAAGAACAGAGTTGTGGCTGTTGTTGTTCTTTTTAACTCTACTTAGTTTTCTCAAACTAAAAAAGATAACTGCATTTGTAAAACATCAAGAGACTGCTGTGGGAAGAAAGCAATCAGAGATTTATGAAATAATCATTGGAAATTAAAATTATGATTAGCAAAATAAAAACAATTTAGGAGAGAGTGCTAGAGAAAGGGAAATAAGCAAAAAATAGGAAAAATGTACAGACACAGAAAACCAACCTAAGGTTATTATCTGATTAACAAGAATTCCACAAAGGTGGGGCTGGGGTTGTAGCTCAGTGGTAGAGCACTTGCCTAGCACTTGTGAGACACTGGGTTCAATCTTCAGCACCATATAAAAATAAATAAATAAATAAATAAATGTATTATGTTCATCTAGAAATAAAAAAAAAAAAATCAAAAAGAATTCCACAAAGGTGAAAAAGAAAAGAAATGAATAAAGATGCCAAGCTAGATTGAATGGAGGCCATAAGCATTGAACATGACATGGAAAATAATTTTAAATTTTAAATTCAAATTATCAATGAGGGTAAAATATTGTAATGCAAAAATCAATAAAAAGTTTACCCACCCCCATAGATTTTTTTTTCCTGAGGATATACTGTAATAAGAAGGGGAAAAAAATTTAAAATCAGAAAATAGCCCTAACTCAGCAGAAAAGTAAGCAGAAATTCCAAGGCAACGGCTGTGCAACCAGATCACAAAGAAACAGGGGCTGGGATGTCTTGAAAAAGAAAGTGGATCTATATTCTAACAGGCAAAATGAAAAACAATCTATGGATAAGACAAAGGCATACTCTTGTTTGTCAAAAAGGTAAAAATAAAGGCAATTTTTAAATCCTGGAAATATACAGAGCTAAATTAGATACGGGTTCCAAATAGGAACAAAGTTAAAATGTGGCATGGTTTTGAGCAGATGCAAAGTAAAAGAGAATATAGTTGGTATCAACATTTGAAATAATCCTTTTAGCCACACATATCCAGTGAGCTAAAACTATATATCCTTTTTTTTATATATATATTCAATTATACAACTTGGTTCTACTGTGAATATAATCTATAAAAAAAAATACTCTAAGTAATGTTCACCAAAATTTCAAGTTTGGAATTATCACTCAGTAGACTCATTACAGTTACAGAAAAYAGTTTACATATAAAACTTGACAATATCAAATAGGCCGCAGAAATTGGCAAATAATATTAAAAACAAAGCAAATAAAGGGATACTAATTTTCTCATCTTAGAAAGWCAAGATAAAAAATAAAGTTGAATTTCTTTACATTACTTTCCTTATAAAATTTTTAAATTATAAAAAAGGTGCTGTGCTAATAAATTATTTTTATGATTCAGATAAAGACATCACTTAATAATACCTTTACTGAGAATTCACTAAGGCAAAACACTGTACACCAATGTTTCAGGACATGATCCATTGGTTGGTCATGAAATAATTAGTGAGTTATAATCAGTGTTTTTAAATACATATAAAGGAAAATATTAAAGTTCACTGCAAATAATAAGAGTCATGAAACAAAGTCCTTGTATGTGTATATGTGCTTATATGKTTTTTTTAATTTTTCTCTTTCTTCCTTTGATGCCAGATCTTAGTTGTCACTCTGTTGCTGCCAGTAGTTCTGCCTCTATAAATCTACTATTTCCACCTAGAATTTATGAATTATAATTTACAGACATTACTCAGGAGGCTGAGGAGGAAAGACTGCTTTAGCCCAGAAATTTAAGGCTAATCTAGGCAACACAGCAAGACCCTATTTAAAAAAAAAAAAAAAATACCTTCTGTGGACACACAGACCAAAAAAAAAAAAAAAACTGAATTTATTTTCCCTATGCCTCTCCAGAATCTACTCTAACTCCTACATTCCTTAYAAATTCAGTAATGTTAAACTTTGGAATGGTGACCCTCTCCTTCCAGTACTGTCTAACCTCTATCCAGTCAGCTGCCAAATTCTGCTCATTCTCACTACACAATCTCCCACTTATCTCCTTTCCCCCATTTTTCAATGCCCATCCTCTGGATTATGTCTTTATTATCTCTCACCTAAATTATCACAACAGCCCCTTACTGGTCTTCCTATTTTTTTTTTTCTGTCTTCCCTCCCCAACCCATTATCCAAATGCTACCAGTATATTCTCCTACAGGAGCTATTAAAAAATATTGAATACATTCCTTATACACCACTTCAATCTCACAATAGAACTTCAAGCATATTCAGAGAGATTAGGGGACTTGTCTAACATATAAATGGTTTGTTTGTTTGTTTGTTTTAAAAAGGAGTGGCGCCAGATTAAATCCAGATCTGTGTAGTTCCAAAGCTTATTTTAAATATGCCCTACCCTCTCTTTGCCTACACATCCCTGCAAATGTTTCCCCACCCCATCTTTCCCTTCACTTAACAAACTTCATCTATACTTCAAAGTTCATCTCAAGTTTCCAAATCCCCTGCCAAAGGCTTGTTTCCACAACACTGACATTTACCTTCAGCATATTCTAACTGCATTATAATTTTCATGTTTCCTCTCATATTCCCTACTGCTTTAAAGCAACAATTATCTTTCTCTTTCCTACAACCCAGTACATAGCAAAGTGTATAATGGTGTTCAATATGTGAATAAATTGGCTAAATTTTAAGCAACTAATATAAGGACAAGATTCTGTATCCTCAGTATCTACTAAAGCACCTAGATATGCCYTCGTAATATTAGCTAAAATCATTCCATTTGAATGAACTAACATCTACAGACATACCTACATTTATTAAGATGAAATGTGTGTACTTGTTTTAAGACTTTACCCCATAGGAAACTTGAATTTGAGAAAATAACGGATCATAGGATAGGGTACTGGGGAAGGCAAAAATCATTTGTTTAACTTGGAATTACTAATATATACTTAATCTTTGAGCATTGATGCCTCCCTCCTGCATACAACAAAAACTAGCCTCCCAAACATCTTTAAAGCATGCTTTCACAACAGTGAATGTCACTTTATTAAGCTTTTCATAGCAAACTGAAAACGTACAGCAAGTCAGTTAAAGTCATAAAGCAAACGGGGAACCTCATTTTTCCTATGCTTCCCTTCTGCTTCCTACCTTCTTGAGAAGCCTGAGTAAGATAATCACTTCCTCATTAATTCAAAAAAAAGGACTGACTGTTCACCCACTCTGCGACAGAAAACAGTAGGCCTGGAGGCTCTAGACAGCCCCAGACGTCCACGTGCTGAGAGCCGAGAAGTCAACTTGTCTTCCGTCCTTTGGCACCTCCGCACCCTCTTGGGGTGTGCCTTGGACTGAACTAAACGCATCTTTCTCTGATCGTGTTACTGACATGCCTGGCCTCTCAGGCCGCGGCTCATTTTCCTTAAGACTGAAGGAACCCCGGCGCTGGGATCGTCCACCCATCTCCTTCACCGGAACTTCGCGTTCTGACCCTGGTTTCACCTCAGTATCTCCACTATCCCCATTAAGAAGTTCTCATTCACCACAGGAGCCACCCACCCTAACAACTCCGCTCCCTCCCTCTTCCTCATTAGTTCCACGACTCCACACCACACCATGGGCTCCTCTCATACTGGAGCCACCGCRCCTACGGCGCCTCCACAGCACGAGAAGCGAGTGCCGCGTGCGCGCGCCGGGGAACGTGCGTGCACCCGAGGGGACGTGCGCGCGCTCAAGGTGCTGCGCCTGCGTGGACCCGCAAGCCCGGGCAAAGCGGAATTCGGCCAGTGAGTCCGCGGTAGCGTGAGCTACCCGGTGGCTTCGCACCTTCTGGGTCAGTAGGCGGGACTGGCGCAGCCGTTCCTCGGCGCTGATTGCCCGCAGACGCTGCTTCAGCTCGGCCCGTAGGCTCCGTTTGGCACCGCTCACGGCTGCAGCCGCCATCCCGCCGAAGTCAGCCCGCTGGCGTCCTCGGGTTCGGCTCCCACCCCTGGTCGAGCACAGCTGGATCCGCCTACCTGTGGGCAGCAGGACCCTGCGAGGCACGCCCCCTGCCTGCGGATCGCAGGCCGGTACCACGCCCCCTGCGCCCCTCCCAGCCTCGGCGCTKCCTGATGGACAGACCCCGCCCCTCTCCCGGCCCTTGATAGCGAATGGCAGTGTGCTCTGTTGGCCCTGCCAGGCTGGTGTTGTGTAGCCGACGCGGCCTAACTCTTCACCCCTCCGCCAAGGCTACAGAGATGGTAAACAACTGCGGGGGGTGCTCCACAGGCAGCTCACAATACACCCCGATTTGGTACTCACCTGTTGTAGTGCAGTACTGCACTGAAGGGGGTTAAAAACAAGGCTAAGGCCAGTGTCCTCAGTAGGCTATGCCATGAATGTAAACCAGACGTATTTGTGTCTTTCCACAATGTCAGAGTTTATTGAATTACAAATTGAAAAGCCACATCATTTTCATGGGCTTTAATTCACCAAAAAAAAAAAAAAAAATTCTCCTGATTCTCTTGGTGTTATGACTGAAACAATCACAAATTCTCTTATTCCATTTCAATCTTAATTACATCATATTTTACCAAATTATGTGTGTGTGTATTACAAGAAAGGCTATGAAAGGGTTAGGTGACCACAGGGTTGCAAGAGGCCTTTGAAGAGCAGAGGCAGGGCATATACTCATTCAAAAAAATCACTGCAGGTGGCTTATGAATCAGCCTAAGAACTAGTTCTGGGTACAGAGCTTTCAGGGGATAGAACTTATTCTTCACGGGGGGGGGGCAGACAGCAGGCAGTTTCAAAGTGGGCCAGCCACATCAAGCAGGACAATCAAGCTAAGCTGAAGTCCTGGGGGTGGAGTTGGGTTTTCAATGCCTGTCAACCTCCTGATGTGTTCAGTGGATTGTCTGATGGATGTGATTCCACACCACTGTCTTAGGTGCCTCTCTTTTTATGTGAGGGAGTTGCATCTGGTAAGATTGATAAGCTCACAGTCCTGGTTTTTCTGATATGGGTTTGATATGTCCATGTGTCCGTGTGCTTTGGATGTAGTTCAGTGAATTCACAGGTGGTTATTTTTTATTAGCACAATTTACTTATCAGTTTGTGCCTTATTATTGTGCTTGCAGCTGGTGATTGTTTACTTGTACAAACAAGTTTTAGAATCTTTCTATTTTGTATTCAGTATGGAGTAGCTTATGACAATCTGCTGCTTTATAAAATGGAGTGACTAAGGGCTGGACACAACCTGAAAACTACTGTTCCATACACCACCGAGTAATTAAGAGCAAGGCACGGCCTACTGTCCACAGCAGGCCAGATTGAAAAATATATATGGTACCAATTGGAAACTTAACTTCTACTGGTTAAAGGAGGTTAAACACACTTTGCAGTGCCTTCCTCTTTTTTTTTTTTTTTTTTTTTTTCAGTCAGTGGGTTTGTTGCTATGGACTGGATAGGTCATTGATGCAGCAAGTGACTTGCCCTTCTTAGACCAGGATGTCTCATCACCTCTGAAAAACTCAGGACTTCAATAAGTTACCCTGTTCATTCTAGTCTTAGACTTCAACAATACTGTCACTGTAGAAAAATTGGAACTTGCTCCTACCATAAGAGCTCTTCAGAATCAGATGATAAGAAAATGGAGGCACCAAGTGGGTATTTGACTCCAGTTGGGAGGAAATAATATGGTAACAATGGAATAAGTGGACATACAGAAGAGCCCATGTGCATCAGATTTATATGCCCATCACATGTTGACACCAGTAATCCAATGAATAATTTTTAGAAGGATCAACTTTTCAATCCCTGGTACCAAAAAAAAAAAAAATAGGAGCTGAGTGTAGTGAAACATACCTATTGTTCCAGCTAATCCATAGTCTGAGACAAGGAGGATTGCAAGTTCAATGTTAGTCTCAACAACTGTCTCAAAATGAAAAATAAAATGGGCCAGGGGTGTAGCTCATTGGTAAAATGTCCCAGGACCACCAAAAAAAAAAAAAAAAAGTTAACATTGTAATTGAAAGACTGTGATGGAAGCTAGCCATTCCAGACATTAAAATATACTATAAAGCCTCTCTAATTGAAACAGTTGTATGCCCAAAGAAACCAGTGAAATGGAATGGAATGTACAGAAATAGACCATTCCATTGCTACATGGCAATTTAATAGTTGACAATGATGGCATCTCAAATCACTGGGGCACACTTGAACTTGTTAATATATGGTGCTGGGACAACTAAATAGCTATATTTTTAAAAGAAAAATAAAATTACATCCATTGCTCACACTATGCATTAAAAAAATCCACATTGTATTGAGAGTCTTAGGTAAAAGCTGAGACTATACAAGTACTAAAAGAAAATAGGATAATTCCTCTTTAACCTCAAAATCCAGAGGCAATAAAAGAAAAGTTTGATAAATTTGATGACAAAAGTATTTTAAATTGGGGTGGCATAAAAAGTAAGCAAAAAAGACAACTGACAAACAGGGAGAAAATATTTGCAACATTGCTATAGACAAAGGACCACTTTCCCTAATGCTAAATGTCTTACTCTTCTTTTACTATTCTAACAATACCTGAGATTGAGTAATTTATAATGAACAGAAATTCATTGGTCTACAGTTCTGGGGATTGGGAAATCTAAGGTTAAGGGATTTTTCCCTACAATTATGGTTAACTGGTGTTTTGAGAAGAGTGCTCAGGATAACTGTATAAGGAAATAATAGTCGTTTTCAACAAATGGTGCTGGGACATCTGAGTATCCACATGCCAAAGAAGAAAGATGGACCTCTACCTAAAATCATATTCAAATATTAACTCAAATATATAGCAAAGGCCCAAACATAAGAACTAATACAATAAAACTCTTAAAAGAAAACAGGCATAAATCTTCATTATCTTGTGTTGGCCAATAGCACTCAAAATATAAGCAACAAAAGAAAAAAACAGGTAAGTTGGAGTTCATCAAAGTGAAAAAAAAATTTACATATTGAAGGACAAAACCAGAGAATGAAAGGAAAACTTACAGAAGGGGAGAAAATGTTTGCAAATCATATATATGATAAGGATATGTAAAGAACAGTATTCAGAATATGTACAGAACTATTAGGACTGAGCAATTTTTTAAAAATGTAATTTTCAAGTGGTCAAAGATCTTGATTAGACATGTCTCCATACAAGTTATATAAATAGCCAAAAAAGCACATGAAAGATGCTGAACATCATTAGTCATTCAAGAAATGCAAACCAAAACCACAAAGAGATACCACTTCATACCTACTCAGATGGCTAGAATTTTTTAAAATGGAGAATACAAGTATTGGTAAAGATGTGCAAAATTGAAACACTCATACTCATGGGAATGTCAAATGATGCAGCCACTTTGGAAAAGTTGTTGAACACAGAGTTGTCATACAACATATTCATTCCACTCCTACTTCTAAACTTAAGAGAACTGAAGAATGGTCACACAAAAACTGTACTTGAATGTTCATAGCAGCATTATTTACAATCTAATTGCATAAACAACCCAGATTTTTACCAAATGATGAATGTACAAATGAAATGTGGTATGTCCATATATTGGAGTATTTTTCAATCATAAAAATAAAACACTGATATGTGCTATAACATGGATTGGCCTTGAAAGTAATATACTAAGCAAATGAAGCCAGACAAGGAAGGCTACATGTTTTACGATCTCACTAACATGACATTTCCAGAACAGGCAAATCCTTAGAAATAGAAGGGAGGTGAGTGGATGTTTTAGGCTGAGAGGCAGAGAGGAATAGGATACATGTTTTCTTTTGAGGTGGAAAGCATTCTAAAGTTAAACTGTGGTGATAATTGACAGTATTCTGAATATACTAAAACCACTAAATTGTACATTTTGTGGTGCCACAAAGTAAGAATGTGCTCAAAAAGGAAGGGAGCATGTCAAAAGGCAGSCAGGATCCAAACTGGAATTCTCAATGCCCAATACTGGGACAATGTGGTCAACAAAATAATGATAATCTTATAGTCCATAGAATAAAATGGGTATCCATTTATATGAATGAATAAATAAGAGAGATGGGACATGCTAAAATTAGTGGGTGGAAGAGTGATGAGAAAGAGAAATAGGACATTTTTGTAGTCTCAAAAATATTTCCCCACAAGATACTTAATTATGAAGAAACCTAGTAATCAATGTTTACATCACTAATCATAAGACAAATGTGATCCCTGATACCATTCCCTGAATAAGCCATGACTTCATTTCTATGGTAATCTTGCCAGAAATGTAGAACCTCAATCTAATAATGAAAAACTATCAAACTCAAGTTGAAGTACCTTCTACAAATTCCTGACCAGTACTCTTCAAAAGTCTCAAAGTTGTGAGAAACAAAGACTCTTGAAGAAGTGTCACAGATTTACCGAGCCTAAGGAGACATGACAACCAAATTCAATTTCACTGTCGTGGATTAAGCCCTGTACCAGAAAAGGGACATAAGTGACAAAACTGTTGAAATTCAAATAAGGTTTGTAGATTAGTTAATAGTATCATATCATTGTTAATTTTCTTGTTTGGATAATCATAATTACATAAGATGTTAATGTTAATGGAAGTTAGATGATAGATGTRTGCAATCTCTACTCTTGTTGCAATTTTTCTGTAAATCTAAAATTTGTTCTAAATAAAAAGTCAAAAAATAAAAGCAGAGGTAACAAATAAACTTATGAAACCATGCAACAGGAGGGCTCATCCTGTGAAAACTCTGGAAGTTTTAGTTGACCCCAAGTGCAAATTAATAAAAGTACTAACTCTCCTTACAATAGACTGCTAATCAGTCTCTCAGCTATTAAACTCTTCTACTATTTGGTCGCACCACTCCTGAACTTGGCATCCTTAGAGAATATTCTAATCAAACTTATCTCTCTAAAAATTGCCTTCAGTAAYACCTAGTGTGGTGGCCCATACCTGTTATCCTAACAACTCTGGAAGCTGAAGCAGGAGGATCATAAGTTCTAAGCCAGCTTCAGGAATTTAGTAAGACTGTGTCTCAGCATAAATTAAATAAATTGGCTGGGGATGTAATTCAGTGATGAAGTGCCCCTGGATTCAATCCCCCCCCCCCCCCCCGTGCCAAAAAAAAAAAAAAGGCGGGGGGAAAAGGCCTTCAGTAAGAACTTCTCTTTGTGTGCAATGTATGGGGGAGGGAAATTACCAAGGATTAAACCCAGGGGCACTTAAACACTGAGCCACATCCCCAGCCCTGTTTTATTTTTTATCTAGAGATAGGGTCTCACTGAGTTGCTTAGGGCCTCACTAAATTGCTAAGGCCGGCTTTGAACTTGCAATCCTCCTGCCTCAGCCTCCTG